CTCTCTCTCTCTCTCTCTCTCTCTCTCTCTCTCTCTCTCTCATACACACACACATAAAAATATGAACATATATAACTTAACTCTCAGAGCATAAAGGAAAAATTATTCATAAAATCATATATCTGTCTCTATATTGTGTACTTTAATTTACTCCGCAATAGCGCACTTCAAAAAAATAATAATAATAAAGATAAAAATAATGATAATAATTAAATTCATTTATAATTCTCATACTTGGATCATATTCCTATTATTACCAAAGAGCTGACTTTCCTGACACGTATCAGAAACGAGGCAAAACAATGGAATAAAAAAGGGTAAAGCTTTTTGGGCCAAGAGCATGCCTTAAAGTCTCCTGAATCAGGATTAGTAAAATACTGATAATCGCTTTAGAATTACTTCAGTTCAATGCTTCAAGAATTACTCTACATAATGGTTGCTGATTCCGTGGGTAGTTTCAGCTGGCTATAAGTTCAGCGTTCCTGGGATGTTTTCAGCTGAATAAGGGCAACCGTGCAAGTGCAGGGATAATATGCAACACATATTATGAACACAGGGTAACTTGGCTTTGAGACATTTCTTAAAGAATTGTCCCAAGGTAAGAAGACATTCATTGCTTATCCATCAATGTAAACTGCAAAGACTGGGCAAAATATTTCCAAAAGTAGAAATATGAGGAATGAAGTCACTTCGAAGCATCACTTATTTATTTTCCTTGAATCGAGCACCATTTTCCGACGTGTTTTTGGCCACGAACAGTTTCTCCTTTTCAGCGTCTCTTCATTCTCTGTCTTATCCTTTGTGTCTGTGCACTTTCTTAGCACCTGAAATAGTTTTCTTTTCCTTATTTCTATTTTATATTTGTATGTGTTTCGTCTTTTTTCTCCCTTTATCATTACTTTAGCGTTGCTTTACGGTATCAACCACCTGGAGTGTGCATTGTAAATATTCATACTATACTTTTACATACATTATATACAAGGCACCTTGTGTGTGAGGTATCCAATACTTACATAACACCGTGGCAGCTTTCAGTGCCACGGTCTCTACGAGGCATTACAGTGTCATATCTCTTGTATCTCTTGGAGTGTCTCTTTGTGTCATTTTGCGATGCGGAAACCACCCTCCTCCCTCCGCTCCTGCCTCCGGGAGCCGCGTCAGTAGATCATGCCCTTCTCGATCCTCTTGGCCACGGAGCCCTGGATGGGCCCGAACTTCTGCTGCTCCGTCGGCGAGTGCAGGTCGCCCTTGGAGCCCTGGCGCCGCAGGCACAGCGGCGACGGCCTCAGCCTCTCCCTGTGGCTGTCCCTGGCGTCGCGCCCGTGCTCCTTGTTCTCCTTGCCCTCCTTGCCGCCGCCCGCGAGCCGCTTGGCCTCCGGCGCCTTCGCGATCTCGGCGTGGCCGAAGCGGCCCCTGGAGCGGCTGGGCGAGTCGAGCGCGTCCCTGCAGGGGCTCGAGAGGTGCGGCGCCTCCTCCGTCTTGTTGATGCTGTTCTTGTTGTTCTCCTTGTTGACCGAGTCCGCCGCGCGCCACGAGCCGTCCGCCTCGCGGTTCAGCGCCACGGACGTCGTCACGGCCTCGCGGTTCAGCGCCAGGGACGCGGGGGCGGCCTCTCGGCTCTGGCCCGCGGCGCCGCGACGGGCCCCTGCTCCGGAAGGGGCCGGGGGCTTCGGGCTCTTTGGTGAGGCGCGGCGAGGGCGTCGCGGCGGCGGCGGGGCCCTCCGCCCGCTCCCTGCACAGGCGCGACGGGGCGGGGACGCACTTGGCCTTCGTCGAGAGGTCCGCCGTCGCCGCCGACGCCGCCTTCAGGTTGAAGTTGGACACGTGGAGCTTGACCCTGTGCTCGGAGGGCCGCGCCGGCGAGGACGGGCGCGGCGAGGCCTCCCTGCGGGCGCCGAAGGAGAGGCTGCTGGCACCCGCGGCGGCCGCCTCGCCGTGCCTGCGGACGCGGGGGGAGGCGCCGGCCCTGGGGCTCGCGCAGGGAGGGTCGGTGGGCGTTCTGGGGCGGGGCGACGCCTGGTCCCGGTCGGCGTGTCCTTCGGGGCGGGCGGGGGCGCTGGCCACGGGCACGAGCGGGGGCGGCTGCGCGGGCGTGGGCGCCGTGCGGAGCCACTGGTGCTCGAGGGCCTCGTCCACGCTGAGGCGGCCGCTGCGGGAGAAAGGGGGGGGGGGGTGAGTGGGACGAAGACCTCGCAATGTTATCTCTCCCTCGAACCCAAACACACACAGGCAGGCACACACCAATGCCCATGTGCGCGCGCACACACACGCACAAGGGCCAACTGTTGGCTGAGTATGAGTCACTGGGGTCGATCTATAATCTAGAACAACACACACACACACACACACACGGCGCATGTGTGGGCGGTGTAAGCCAATCCCCGGTCCTTAAAAACAGCTATTATTTAGGGCCAAAAGCCACGAAGGCGTCCCACTTCCGATTGATTATAATAAAAGCATTATAAGCCTAATTATAATTATAAAATTATAATTATAATTATAATTTATAATTATAAAAGCATTAAAAGCTCCCCAGCGCCACCAACACCACCATGAAGATAGTGATGATGACGAAGATAAATGATGATGAAGATGATCAAGCTACTTATGATGACGAAGATAATGATGAATGAGATGATCAAGCTAATGATAAAGATGATGATGATGATGATCAAGCTAGTTATGATGACGAAGATAATGATGATGATGATAATGATCAAGCTACTTATGACGAAGATAATGATGATGGAGATGATCAAGCTACTTGATGACGAAGATAAATGATGAAGATGATCAAGATGATGACGAAGATAATGATGATGATGATAATGATCAAGCTACTTATGACGAAGATAATGATGATGGAGATGATCAAGCTACTTATGATGACGAAGATAATGATGATGAAGATGATCAAGCTAGTTATGACGAAGATAAATGATGATGATGATGTCAAAGCTACTTATGATGACGAAGATAATGACGATGATGATCGAATTATGATGAAGATAATGATGATGAAGATGATCAAGCTACTTATGATGACGAAGATAATGATGATGAAGATGATCAAGCTAGTTATGATGACGAAGATAATGATGATGAAGATGATCAAGCTACTTATGATGACGAAGATAATGATGATGAAGATGATCAAGCTACTTATGATGAAGATAATGATGATGAAGATGATCAAGCTACTTATGATGACGAGATAATGAATGATGAAGATGATCAAGCTATTTGATGACGAAGATAATGATGATGAAGATGATCAAGCTAGTTATGATGACGAAGATAATGATGATGAAGATGATCAAGCTATTATGATGAAGAGATGATGATGATGATCAGCTACTTATGATGAAGATAATGATGATGAAGATGATCAAGCTACTTATGATGACGAAGATAATGATGATGATGATGATGATCAAGCTCGTTATGATGACGAAGATAATGATGATGAAGATGATCAAGCTCGTTATGATGACAAAGATAATGATGATGAAGATGATCAAGCTAGTTATGATGACGAAGATAATGGTGATGATGAAGATGATCAAGCTAGTCGAGATAATGTGATGATGAAGATGATCAAGCTACTTATGATGAAGATAATGATGATGATGATGATCAAGCTACTTATGATGACGAAGATAATGATGATGGAGATGATCAAGCTCGTTATGATGAAGATAATGATGATGAAGATGATCAAGCTACTTATGATGACGAAGATAATGATGATGAAGATGATCAAGCTACTTATGATGAAGATAATGATGATGATGGAGATGATCAAGCTACTTATGATGAAGATAATGATGATGGAGATGATCAAGCTAATTATGATGACGAAGATAATGATGATGAAGAGAATGATCAAGGTCTACATACTTACTCATCTAGACCTTGATAATGATGGTGACGGAGACAAAGATAAAAGATAATGCCGTTGCCGGAATGACCCTCCCCCCCCCCTAGAAAAAATAAAACACAAAATAAAAAATAAATCCCCAGGTTTAAAAAAATAATAATAATAATAATAAAAAATAAAAAATAAATCCCCAGGTTTAAAATTTTAAAAATAAAAAATAATAATAAAAATAAAAAATAAAAACCCGGAAGCCCGACGTACCTAGGCTCAACCACGAGGAGGTGTGAGATGAAGTCCTTGGCTTGCTCCGACACGTCCCCGAACAGGTCCTCCGGGAAGTCCACGTGGCCCTGGGAGATGTTGAGGAAAGTCTCCTGCTTCGTGTCGCCTCCGAAGGGCGAGTGACCCGTCAGGAGGACGTAGGTCAGCACGCCCACCGACCTGACGGAAGGGGCGCGAGTTAAAATCTGGGGGGCGGTGCAGGGGGGGGATAGAGAAAGAGGGAGGGAGGGAGGGAGGAAGGGAAGGAGGGAAAGAGAGGAAGGGTGGGAGAGAGGGAGGGAGGGAGGGAGGGGAGGGAAGGAAGAAGGAAGGGAAGGAGGGAAGGAGAAAAAGGAGGAAGTAGGGAGGAGGAAGGAATAGAGAAAAGAGGGAAGTAGAGGAATAGAGAAAGAGGAAAGTAGAGAGGGAGGGAGAAAGGAAGGAAGGGAAGAAGGGAGGGAGGGAAGGAGGAAGAAAGGAAGGGAAGGAGGGAGGGAAGGAAGGAGGAAGGAAGGAAGGGAGGGAAGAAGGAAGAAAGGAAGGGAAGGGAAGGAGGGAGGAAGAAGGAAGGAAGGAGTGGAAGGGGGGGGGAGGAAGGGAGGGAGGGAATGAAATAAGTGAGAGAGAGCAGGAAGGGTCGACAGAAAAGGGGAGAAGATGGAGAGACGTTACTTCTTCGAACGAAAGAGGTGTGAGAGAGAGAGAGAGAGAGAGAGAGAGAGAGAGAGAGAGAAGAGAGAAGAGAGAGAGAGAGAGAGAGAGAGAGAGAGAGAGAGAGAAAGAGAGAAAGAGAGAGAGAGAGAGAGAGAGAGAGAGAGAGATAGAGACAGAGAGGACAGACAGACAGACAGACAGACAGAGCAGAAGAGAAACAAAGAAAAAGAGAAAGAGAGAAAATAATTCTTGGTGGTAAGTGAAGGGAGAGGAGGGGACCATCCATTCTTTCATTCTCTCTCATTTATCTCTCTCTCGTACATCCATCTCCTCATTACCTTTCCTCTATACACCATTCATCATTATCTATCTATCCATTATCATTATCTATCAATCTATCCATTATTTATCATTATTATCTATCAATCTATCCATTATTTATCATTATTATCTATTAATCTATCCCTTATTTATCATTATTATCTATTAATCTATCCATTATTTATCATTATTATCTATTAATCTATCCATTATCTATCCTATTTATATTATTATCTATTAATCTATCCATTATTTATCATTATTATCTATTAATCTATCCATTATTTATCATTATTATCTATTAATCTATCCATTATTTATCATTATCATCTATTAATCTATCCATTTATCATATCTATCCGTTATTTATCATTATTATCTATCAATCTATTCATTATTTATCATTATTATTTATTAACTTATCCATTATTTATCATTATTATCTATTAATCTATCCATTATCTATCATTATTATCTATTAATCTATCCATTATTTATCATTATTATCTATTAATCTATCCATTATTTATCATTTATTCACCATCTATCACATTTATTCATCTATACGTTTTTTTATCATTTTCTTGTCCATTCATTACTTTTATTCAGTATCATTTTATCTATTATTTATTATTAGTTTCTCTATTTATCTGTTCACTCACCATCTATCCTTTACTCATTCATTCATTATTCATTCATTTATTCCTTCATTCGCCTTCCATCATTTATCAATTTCTTCATTATCTATCCTTTATCAGTCATTTATTCTATTCATTTATTTATTTTCATTTATTTATTCATCTACTCATTCGTCATCTATCATTTGTTTATTTTTTCATTATCAATAATTCCTCATTCGTTTCGCAAGTTATCTATTTCTTCATTATCTATCATTCATCATTCATTCATTTCCTTTAACCATTCATTATCTATCATTATCTATCAATCTAATTAGTCACCAATTCTCTTTAATCTATTTCTTCGCCATCTTTCATTTATTTATTTCTTCACCATCTCCCAATTATCAATTTCTTCGCCATTTCTCATTTATCAATCCTTTACCTTATCTATTTATCAATTCTCATCTATTTATTAATTATTTATCTCTACTCATTCACCATCTCTCATTCATCTATTTCTTCACCATCCCTCATTCATCAATCCTTCACCTTATCTATCTATTCACTCTCATTCATCTATCATTATTTATTCATTTACTCATTCCCCATCTCCCATTCATCCACTTCTTCCCCATCTCCCATTCATCCTTCCTTCCCCATCCCTCATTCATCCACTTCTTCCCCATCTCCCATTCATCCATTTCTCCCATTCATCCACTTCTTCCCCATCTCCCATTCATCCATTTCTTCCCCATCCCTCATTCGTCCATTTCTTCACCATCTCCCATTCATCCATTTCTTCGACATCTCTCATTCATCCATTTCTTCGCCATCTCCCATTTATCAATTTCTTCCCCATCTCCCATTCATCCACTTCTTCCCTATCTCCCATTCATCCATTTCTTCCCCATCCCTCATTCGTCCATTTCTTCACCATCTCCCATTCATCCACTTCTTCACCATCTCTCATTTCTTTATTTCTTCACCATCTCTCATTCATCAATTCTTTACTTTATCTATCTATTCACTATTCTATTATCTATCATTATCTATTCACTATTCTATTATCTATTATTATCTATTCACTATTCTATTATCTATCATTATCTATTCACTATTCTAATATCTCCCATTCATCCACTTCTTCCCCATCCCTCATTCGTCCTTGCTTCCGCTCCTTTTCCGTCCGCGCCACTCACCACATGTCCGTTGCGAGGCTGATCGGCTCATACTGAAGGATCTCCGGAGCTGGAACGGAACGGACGGCCGGTTAAATTATTACTATTATTATTAAATTAAATTATTACTATTATTATTTAAATTTAATTATTAAATTAAATTATTACTATTATTATTAAATTAAATTATTACTATTATTATTAAATTAAATTATTACTATTATTATTAAATTATGAAATTATTATAAACCGTTATTACTGTTACTATTAACATCTATTACTGTTATCATCTATTACTGTTATTACTGTTACTATTAACATCTATTACTGTTACTATTAACATCTATTACTGTTACTATTAATATCTATCACTGTTATTATCATTACTGTTATCATCTATTACTGTTATTACTGTTACTATTAACATCTATTACTGTTATTATCATTACTGTTATCATCTATTACTGTTATTACTGTTACTATTAACATCTATTACTGTTATTATCATTACTGTTATCATCTATTACTGTTATCATCGTTACTATTAACATCTATTACTGTTATCATCTATTACTGTTATCTTATATTAACATCTATTACTGTTATCATCTATTACTGTTATCACTGTTACTATTAACATCTATTACTGTTATCACCGTTACTATTAACATCTATTACTGTTATCAATGTTACTATTAACATCTATTACTGTTATCATCATTACTATTAACATATGTTACTGTTATCACTGTTACTATTAACATCTATTACTGTTATCACCGTTACTATTAACAACTATTACTGTTATTACTGTTACTATTAACATCTATTACTGTTATTATCATTACTATTAACATCTATTACCGTTATCACCGTTACTATTAACATCTATTGCCGTTATCATCGTTTCTATTATTCTTTGTCGTGTTTTTGAATAGGTGGAAAAATCGTATAGGTCATAGATACATGGAGAAATATATAACAAAGAAATATTATTATTATTATTATTATTATTATTATTATTATTATTATTATTATTATTATATTATATCATTATTATTATTATTATTATTATTATTATTATTATTATTATTATTATTCTCATTATTATCATTATTATTATCATTATTATTCTCATTATTATTATTATCATTATTATTATTATTATTATTATTATTATTATCATTATTATTATTATTATTATCATTTATCTCATTATCATTCTCATTATTATCATCATTATTATTGCCATTTTTGAATAAGTGTAAAAATCATATAAATCATAGATACAGTGACAACCATCACATTAAATTCAATTCTTTTTAGGTTGATATAAAAAAAACATATAGATTATATATCAGTAAAAAAATACAAATTTTTAAACAATCATAAAAATTCTAGATATAATGAGAAATTATTTTAATGCCATTTATAATCTATCATGTGTACATTATGAAGCTGTTTACTATCTACAATAAACAACAACAAAATATCATAAACAAACATGCAATAACTTCAACAACAACATCAATAAACAAAAACATGAAAAACAGCAAAAAACAACATGAACAGACAAACGACATCAACATAGACAATCAACATAACAAACAACCCAGCGCAGTCACCCCCGACATAGCACCAACAACACGCATGCAACATAAACAACAAACAAGCAACGTAAACAAAGTACATAAACATAAACACCAAAAAAGCAACATAATAGACAAATAAACAACTACAAACAAACAACATATACAAAAACAAACAATAAAAGAGCAACATAAACAAAGTACATAAACATAAACATAAACAACAAAAAAGCAACATACTAGACAACCAACAAACAAACAACATAAACAAAGTAAATAAACATAAACAACAAAAAGGCAACATAACAGAAACAACAAACAAAATCTACAGACAAACGACATAAGCAACAAAAAAGCAACATAACAAACAAACATATTTGACAGACAAACAACATAAACATAAGCAACAAAAGGCAACATAACAAACACAAACAACATAAGCAACAAAAAGCAACATAACACAAACAAAAACAACATAAACAACATAACAAACACAAACAACATAAACAACAACAAATCAACCTAACAACCTACAACAAACAAACAAACAAAAACGCCCCAAACCCGAGGGCGTGATAAACATAAACAACAAAAAATCAACCTAACACAAACAAACAAAAACAAACAACATAAACAACAAAAAAGCAACATAACAAACAAACACCAAACAAATTATACAAACAAACAACATAACAAAAAAACAACACAACAAACAAAAACAAACAACATAAACAACAAAAAATCAACCTAACACAAACACAAAACACCCCAAAACAAAAAACGCCCCCAAAAACCCGAGGCGTGCACACCCACCCACGTAGTCCGGCGTCCCGAGCACCTCCCGCACCTCGAATTTTACAAACAAACAACATAAACAACAAAAAAGCAACATAACAACCTAACACAAACACAACCCCCCCCAAAACCCCCAAACCCGAGGGCGTGATAAACATAAACAACAAAAAGCAACATGCCAAACAAACACCAAACAAATTTTACAAACAACATAAACAACAAAACAGCAACAAAAAATCAACCTAACACAAACCCAAAAAAAAAAAACACCCAAAAACACCCCCAAACACCCCAAAACACCCCAAAACACCCCCAAAAAACACCCCCAAAACCCGAGGGCGTGTTCACCCACCCACGTAGTCCGGCGTCCCGAGCACCTCCCGCACCTCGAATTTTACAAACAAACAACATAAACAACAAAAAATCAACCTAACAACCTAAAACAAACACAAAACCCCCAAAACAAACACCCCCAAAACCCGAGGGCGTGATAAACATAAACAACAAAAAGCAACATAACAAACAACACAAACAAAAACAAACAACATAACAAACAAAATAGCAACAAAAAATCAACCTAACAACCTAACACAAACAAAAACCCCAAAACACCCCAAACTGGAGCCCGTGATAAACATAAACAACAAAAAAGCAACACAATAAACACAAACAAAAACAAACAAACACCCCAAAACACCCAAACCCGAGGCGTGATAAACATAAACAACAAAAATCAACCTAAACACAAACACAAACAAAAACAAACAACAAAAAATCAACTAATAACAACAAAAAAAACAACCTAACACAAACCCAAAAAAACACCCCAAAACACACCCCAAAAACACCCCCAAAACACCCACCCACGTAGTCCGGCGTCCCGAGCACCTCCCGCACCTCGATGTCCGCCAGCAGGATCCGAGAGATGCCGAAGTCGCAGAGCTTGACGGCGCTGTCCGGGTGCTGGCCCATCAGCAGGAGGTTCTGGGCTGCTGGGAGAGAGGGAGAGAGGAGACGGGGTGGTTAGAGGGCTGGTGGGAGGGAGGAGGAGGGTGGGAGGGAGGGGCGAGGGGGTGGTTAGAGGGCTGGGTGGGGTGGGAGGGGGAAGGGAGGAGGTGGGTGGTTAGAGGGTGCTGGCCCATCAGCAGGAGGTTCTGGGGCTGCGGGAGAGGGGAGGGAGGGGGGGTGGTTAGAGGGGGCTGGTGGGTGGGAGGGAGAGAGGGAAGAGGAGGGAGGGTGGTTAGAGGGGGTGGTGGGGAGGGAAGGAGGGAGGGGAGGGGTTAGAGGGTGCTGGCCCATCAGCAGGTTCTGGGCTGCGGGAGAGGGAGGAGGAGGGGGGTGGTTAGAGGGGTTAAAGGGGAGTGGAGGGAAGGAGGGAAGGAGGAGGAGAGGAAAGGGAGGGAGGTGGAGGGAGGGGAGGAGGTGGGTGGTTAAGAGGGTGCTGGCCCATCAGCAGAGGTTCTGGGGCTGCGGGAGGAGGGAGGAGAGGGTGGTTAGAGGGGCTGGTGGGAGAGGGGTGGTGGGGAGGATGGAGGGAAGGAGGAGTTGGAGGGAGGGGAGGGAGAGGAGAGGAGAGGAGGGAAGTAGCGGACAATTGACAGACTGAGAGAGAGAGAGCGAGAGAGCCGAGAGAGAGAGAGAGAGAGAGAGAGAGAGAGAGAGAGAGAGAGAGAGAGAGACGAGAGAGAGAGAGAGAGAGAGAGAGGAGAGGAGAGAGGAGAGAGAGGAGAGAGGAGAGAGAGAGAGAGAGAGAGAGAGAGAGAGAGAGAGAGAGAGAGAGAGAGAGAGAGAGAGAGAGAGAGAGAGAGAGAGAGAGAGAGAGAGACAGAGACAGAGACAGAGACAGAGACAGAGACAGAGACAGAGACAGAGACAGAGACAGAGACAGAGACAGAGACAGACAGACAGAGACAGAGACAGACAGACAGACAGACAGACAGACAGACAGACAGACAGAGGGAGAGAGAGCGACAGAAAGGGAGACAGGCAAACAGACAGAGAGAAAAGAGAAAATCGCCAATAACACATAATAAACATAATAATAATAAACAGACTCTATGATCATTGTCAAGAGGATCAGATTCTAAGCAATGAAGAGAATTATCATATCGTCTATAGTAACAAGAATAACAAAAGCAAGAGAATAAAAGAAATAAATTATTAATAAGAACTATAGTTACTGGTGAATACTCTTTTTATGCACAAAAATAGAGTTGGGAGAATGAAACAAGAAATATATGATAGTTATTGAAGTATTTACTCCCATAAATAGTGAAATTAATAACACTTCTAGGAAACAAACGAAGCTAAATATTGCGCTAAAGAAGCTCTGTTCGCTACATATTAGCGAAAAAAGAGCAATACCAGAAAAATCCACTTTAAAACCAACCAACACAAAGAAAACAAATAAATAAAAAGATAAAAACAAAAAACTAATAAAACAACAACAAATTAGCCTCACCTTCAGATCCAAGTGAGCGATGTTGTGCGTGTGGAGGTAGCGGAGAGCGCTAAGGATGTTGCTCATGTAGCGGCGGACGACCACCTCCTCCAGCCGCTCTTCCTCGTCGATGACCCTCTGCAGTTCGCCTCCGGAGGCTCTGGTGGCCGGAGGAAGGTGTGTGAGAGGCCATTTTGTTTTTTGTTCTTTCATTTTTTGTATTATTATTACTGCTGCTGCTGATGTTGTCATTATCGTATTATTTATCATCCTCATTATTATCATCATTATATCATTTCTAACATTATCATCATCATTAATATTATCATATATCATCACTATTATCATAATCATTATTATTATTCATTATTATTATCATTATTATTATTATTACTATTATTACTATTATTACTACTATTATTGTTATTATTATCATTATTGTGATTATTATTACTATTATCATTATTATTACATATAATAATTATATCATTATCATTATTATCATCATCATCATCATCATTGCCATCATCACTATCAATATCACTATTATTTAGTTTTATTTTCTTCATTTATCTCTTTATCGAAAAGGTCAGTAAGAACGACCTTTAAAAACCCTTCGGCAAGGTCATGAATTCGTGACCTCCACGAAGGCTGACCTCGGCGGAAGGGTCAAAAAAAGGGTCAAAGGGCGCGGTCTTTGGCTCTGGTTTAGCTCTCCACTTTATTTACTCGTTGCCTCTCATCACGTTTATCTTATTCTATTATATCGTCATCTTTATCATCATTCCTTTCGTTTTGTTTTCCTTCATTGATGTGAAAAATAAAAATAGCATTGATAGTGACGATGCTGACAATGACCTTGACCTCGAGAGCACCCACACGAGCAGCAGCAATAACAAGTGTTCAACCAAGAACAGCAAGAACAGCAAAAAATAAATTACGATAAAGAATAGAGAATAAGGAAGCCAATAACAATAACCTTCCAATAACGAAATCATAAAAAAAGGAAAGACAATAAATAATAAAAATGCAACTAAATCACGATAAAGAACAGAGAATAATAAAAATAATAAAAATAATAAAAATAAATAAATAATAAAATAATAAATAAAGACAATAAATGATAAAAATGCAACTAAATTACGATAAAGAACAGAGAATAATAAAAATAATAAAAATAATAAAATAAATAAATAATAAAATAATAAATAAAGACAATAAATGATAAAAATGTAACTAAATTACGATAAAGAATAGAGAATAATAAAAATAATAAAAATAATAAATAAATAAATAATAAAATAATAAATAAAGACAATAAATAATAAAAATGTAACTAAATAACGATAAAGAACAGATAATAATAAAAATAATAAAAATAATAAAATAAATAAATAATAAAATAATAAATAAAGACAATAAATGATAAAAATGCAACTAAATTACGATAAAGAACAGAGAATAATAAAAATAATAAAAATAATAAAATAAATAAATAATAAATAAAGACAATAAATGATAAAAATGTAACTAAATTACGATAAAGAATAGAGAATAATAAAAATAATAAAAATAATAAAATAAATAAATAATAAAATAATAAATAAAGACAATAAATGATAAAAATGTAACTAAATTACGATAAAGAACAGAGAATAAGGAAGCCAATAACAATAACCTTCCAATAACTAAATCATTAAAAAAGGGAAAGACAAGAAAAGAGAAGAACCAAAATCATTAAAAAAAGGGGAAAGCAAGACAAGAGAAGAGACGAAAGAAAACAACACCACAACTTGGAAAACAAAATGAAGAAAACGAAGGAAGACCGTAGCTGGGCCTCCGACTCACAGCTCGAGGACGAGGATGACCTCCGAGGCGCTCTCGAACAGCTGGTGCAGCGACACGATCCCCGCGCACGCCCGCGGTCAGAGCAGTACAGCGCCTCGTGGCAGGATCTCGTGGC